TTAATCATTAAATTGAGATTTAGATGATCTAGACCATTTATGAAAGTTCCATACCATTTGAACATAAAGGATATGGCTAAACTCAAGAAGCAATATATAGAGCTTCTTGACAAAGGTCATATCCAACCAAGCAAATCACCCAATAAAGTATGAGTCTTTTTTGTTATGAAAAAATAATGGTACCATGAGGATGTTTAATAATTATTAGGCTCTCAATAAAATCACTGTCAGAAACAATTATCCTTTCCCTCGCATTGATGACTTATTTGACCAACTCTTAAATGCTAAGTATATTACACAACTTGATTTGCAGTCTAGGTATCATCAGATATGGGTGGCAAATCAGGGTCTAGAGAAAACAACCTTAAAGACTCATTATGAGTCCTATGAGTTCGTTGTTATGTTGTTTGGGTTATGTAATTCTCTGACAACGTTTAATACAATGATGGATAGAATATTTAGAGATTATTTTGGACATATTTGTTGTTTTATATATGGATGATGTTCTAGTTTTCAGTGAAACATTAGAGGATCATTTGAAACATTTAGAGTTGGTATTTCAAAGTTGCAAGAGAATAAACTATATGCTAGTAAATATGCTTTGGGTTAATTGTGTATGAACTTTCTTGAACATATAGTTGGTGGTGGTGTAATCAAGGTGGATCCAAAGAAAGTGGAAACAATGAAGTCATAGGAAGTCCTAACAACTATATCAGATGTTTGTTCCTTTCTTGGTTTGGCGAGATACTATCATAAGTTTATTTGCAATTTTGCAAGTATTGCACTTTTGTTGACTAAATTAATGAAAGGTAGTATACTGTTTCATTGGATACCAGTTTGTCAACATGCTTTTGTACAATTGAAAGAGATGACTGCAGGTCTTATTCTTATGATCCTAAATCTTGATAAAGCCTTCAAAGTGCATTATGATGCATTTAGCTATGCTATAAGTGCTATATTGCAGCAAGGTTGTGACAATGCAATTGGTGTTATGCTACAACAATGCAATTGTCTTATTACATTTTCTTCTATATGATAGAATACTCCTTCCCAAGAATCTCAGAGATTCTCTTGCTATTCTTGGAAAAGTTGATAGATCTCTCTATCTTGTCATTCCCTATATGGCCAAACGTCAGGATACATAATATTCTACTATTGTTTGATACCAAGGAAGGAGCAATAGCCCTGATTGGCTCATGTCACTAACAAATATTCTACCATATGGCCAACTGTATGGCAAACTCTTCTAAGAATGCAAAAGCACAAAATCAGCAAGAGTATTAGTGATTCAAACAAAGATCTAAGGACTTAATGAGCCCCTCAATCAAACACGCACTCAATTCCCCAACTGCCAATATCCCTACAATAGAATACAAGAAAGTCTATTCACTAGAAACTTTTCCCAACCAACCCTATTCCTAGCTCTTAATATCCATATGGGTTTGTAGTTATCCTCTAGCCACTTCAATCCAACATCCAAAGTCAGACCCAATGAACAATAGCCATGTACCTAACTTTGTTGCCAGTGTTTAATTGTGAGCTACAAAGAAAGCTCTCTAGAAACACTCCAAAACCAAGTGCAATCTCACTAACATTCACAATCTCTTTACTGCTCACTAAAATCACTCTAAAGACACTTTTAAATGCCTTTAATGTTTCTTCTCTATCATTGCCCTCCTTTTTATAGTTAGCTTTGCCATTAATTCCTCCA